GTGCCCTTGCTAAAGCTTTAGATATGGAGCTTCACTTCACTTCTGGATATCACCCGAAGGCTGATGGACAAACCAAATGTGCTAACCAAACTCTGGAGCAATACATCTGCATCTACTGCTCCTATAAACAGGACAATTGAGATACCTTACTACCCATTGCAGAGTTTGCCTACAATAATGCTCCCAATGCCTCCACCAGAATCTCTCCATTCTTTGCTAACAAAGGCTACCACTCCAACATCACCGTGCATCCAGAACGAGATATCGCTTCCACCTGGGCCTGTGACTTCATTGTTAACCTCAACGAGCTCCACCAATTTCTTCGAGATGAGATCACCTATGCTCAGTCTTGTTACAAATTCCAAGCAGACAAGCGATGGTCTCTGGCCCCTGATTTCAAAGTTGGTGATAAAGTCTACCTCAGCTCCAAACATATCAGAACTACTCACCCTACTGTGAAATTTGCTGAAAAAGCCCTAGGACCATTCAAAATCATCACTCAGCCTGGATCCCATTCATTCACTCTCAAACTCCCATTGGACCTCTGCTCCATTCACCCTGTATTCCATGCCTCCCAACTTGAACCTGTGGAGACCAATACTATCCCTAACCATACCCAACCTCCTCTACCTCCAGTTGAAGTTGATGGTGAAGAACAGTACGAGATTGCTCAAATTCTTGACTCAAAGCTTGACTGTCAGTTCCACTGTTCACTCTTATACCGGGTCCAATGGTTGGGTTATGAAGGTACTGATGAAGATTTTGCCTGCTACAGAATTCTCTGCAGATGAATATATTGAAGAATTCCACCAACATTACCCAGACAAACCAGGACTGTTATCCAAAGTCACCATCCACAAAGTCTCCCTTAAACCCTCATCCATTGTTTCTTGACCTACCCATAACTTATCAGCTCCCTATGGGTTCCACCCCTTGAATTTCAAATCAAATCTTGGAAAACTATTGCAAATTACCTTTCTAATTGAGAACAGAACCCATCGGATGCCTAGTTCTTGCTTTCCCTTATTGCTCACTCTTATTCACTCAAGCCTACAAACCAAGAGATAGTTAATTATTGCCCACGCTATCAAAATCATACCACAAGATAACATCCAAAAAATTATAATACAAGTCCAAGAAATGATGCCTAGGATTCCACATGCACCAACTCCCCAGTAAACACATCCTCATCCATCTTGTCTTTCCCTCTATCATCCTCCTTCTCTTCATCACTCATAACCAATAACTCCAGCTCATCCAACGCTAGAATTCTGATGGTGCCCGTGCAAGGACACATCTCTTCCCTCTTCTCCTCACCATCCACTTCTCCCTCGGAATCCTCTACTAAAAACTCCTCCACATCCTCAAGGTATTTCTTTCACAACACTCATTCAGCCTGACAGCCTCTGAGGGTGTAAAACTTTGCCCTTGTATCCAAAAAACAGTCCTGACACTTGATGGCCAACTGAAGGCCATCCTCCCCAAGACACCCATACCAGACCTCCATGTTTGCCAGCTCGAAGGGATCCTTGGGATTGAGAGACTTAATGCCCATAACTTGGGCATTCCAGACATGGGCGACATCCTTGTCCAGTCGTATCCGCATTGTGATCCTTAGGGCTTCTGAGTTTATGTTCTTGAGGTCCTCAAGCTCAGCCTTGGACACCTCCCATTCCTTCCTAAACTCATTATCAATGAAACCTGACGGCCATTCCAGTGTGTCACCCTCATGAAAGTCATCCACCAGGTCATCAACCCAGCTTCCGAAGATGTTGACTTTCTCTTCTACCCTCTCCAAACCTTCCTGGAAGGTGTCCATGTTGTCACAAAGTTGTTGTAAGAGGTCCATGACCTCACCGGAACCCATGGACCCTGACCCTTCACCCTGGCTAAATACACACTTGCTCTTCTTCAGCTTACACTGCTTGCAAGTGCACCTGCAGCAAATAAAACACTTGACATCGTCCGCTTTACAATGCCCACAACACCCTACAGAACAAGTCAGCACAAGCCATGGAAGTAACTTACCGTTACCCTTATACTCTTCATCATCTGCCTGCATCTCAGGCTCAGTCTTCAACTTCTTCAGTGGCCTCCCCGATGGCTCTTCAACTTCTTCATCTCCACTCACCACCACTGCCACACTAGATTTGACCTTCCTCTTCCTCGAAACACCCATGGCCTCTGAATTGGTTGCCTTACCCTTGCCCTTCTGATCCTTCCTCTGCTTCACCAATTTCCTCAAGGCCTTTTCCTTGAGACCCCTCTCCTGCTCATTATCCCTATCAGAACCACCCTCTCCATTGCCACCTTCCTCCCTCTCCTTCTCCTTCTCAACCTTCACAGCATTCCTGATCTCATCCTCCAACTTCTCCCTCTCCATGGCCTCCCTCTCTTCCTCTAACTGCCTTGCCTCTTCCTCCTGCCAGTTTCTCTCTGTGGCCTCCTGCTCCTCTCTCTCCTTCCTTGCTTTGGCCTCTGCAACCTTCCTCTCCTGTGCTAATTTTGTCTCTTGCCATTCTAACTCTAGAGCCTGCCTCTTTTCCTCCTTTTGTTTCTGTGCCTTCCAGGCCTCACGGGCCTCCACAGCATCCTCCCTAGCTTTTTCCGTGGCATCCCGCTCATCATGAAAGGCTTCCAGGTCTTCAGGCTAAATATCTTTGGGTGTCAGGGCAGGCTCGTATAGTTCATGTGTCATGGAAACATAGTACTCAATGATTGATGACATGACCAATGATAAGGACAAAAATCAGAAAATGGAGATGGTGGTGATAGAAAGCTAAGAGGTAGAAAACCATGTGACCAACCTGAAAAAATTCCACATGGTCACACTCAGCCATCGGGATCTGCATCCTTGAGGGCAAGAACACTAAGAGGGGAATACTGTAACGAGCATGCTGATGGAAACCCAACTTCCACTCAATCCAACAAACCACACCCTGTAATCCTATGGATTCCGATTCTCAGTTCCCATTTCATATTCCATTCTATATTTTATCTCTCCATATTAATTTATCAATAGCCCAATATTAGTAGCGAATATGTCATTGGACTCCATTGGCCACTGACCAGTAGAATACATCCTCCGACAACCCTAGAATGTAGAACACTCCAAGTAGGAACTAGATCGGACTCCTAACTAGTATATAAGCCTTAGAATTACACTGTACATACACAGTTTGAATATCAACTTGGTTCAGCCCAATCTCTCTCTCTGACTCTCAGTCAACTCTTGTCCTCCAGTCTGTGGAACTCTGATCCAGTGGACTTATCTCCCAACCCTTCTCTATCATTCCACAGACTTCCATTGTTATGACTGCAGCCTACTTACACGTGGAATTTTGCAATCTAGCATGTTTTTACATGCACACAGAGATATAGTGAGCGAGCGGACTAAAACATGTCAACACTAATGCTATGCAGTGCAAGGATGCAGAATATAACTTATGGCATAAGAAGCAACAGGATTCTAAACAGGACTTCGTCACAGCACCGTACCTGATGGGCATGCATGATGAGAAGGCTGAACCCTATACCCAGTGCACTATGCCCTAACTTACAAGCATGCTCACGGAAGTTGGATGACACTTTGAAGGTTGCATTAACATTGAAAGTATTTAGCATGCTCACTAACTGTGATGTGCAGTACCTGAAAATCTGGGGAAATCCTTATGCAAGATGACAGATATCACCAGAGCAAACTTGGACAGTGAGTCTTGGCTGAAGTCCATGAGCCTGTGTTCCATTGTCCAGAGTCCTATTGTTCAAAGACTCACTTGTTGCTGTGTCTACGAGAAGCCTCTGTGAATCCAAGAAAGAAGTACTGAAGGACATATGTTAGAAGTGATAGTTCCATACACCTAGACCTGTCAGTCATCAGAGAACAAGCCTGTGGGTGTCGGGAGAGCACCTCTTGGCACATGTTTAGCGAGCTCACTATAGAAATGAGATTAAAACTGGGAAGTCCGACTCAGATGCTCAGTAAGGCAGCAGTGGCAATGTACTATGCACGTAGGGGTCTGGGTACTGTGCGACGTTTGTAATTCTAAATTCCCTGTAGTATAAGTAGGACGGTTCCAGTAGATAGAAGCAAAGTTTCGAGCCCCCAAGTTCCCATGCACACATTGAAGGTGGTACTGTAACAAAGGATCAGTTTGTAACTTCAAGCTTTGTATAGAATTAGCGAGCTCACTCAGAGAAATCCGAGATACCCTTTTGATAAGACTTTTGAGAACTTACTCAGAGTGAATATGAATCAGTGACACTGTTTCCATTCTGTTAAGTGTGATAAGTCTGTTCAGAGAATGTGTTGAAGTGGAAATCTGAAATCTGTTCTGTTCTGTTCTGTTTCAGTCTGTTCCGTGTCAGTTCTGTTCAAAGTTTCGTTTCTGAATCTGTTTCTGAGCACTTCTGAAGTGTTCTTGAGTTGAGATAACTTGCTGAAGTTAGTTGGAGAACCCCTACATACAGTTGTGTAGTGAGCGGGCTAAGTCAGTGCTTGCCTGTGGTGTTCTTTTAGCAAGCTCACTATTGTTTTAACATGTATCATCTCTGTTTCTGTTGGGATCAGTGTCCCTTGTGTATTTTAACCTGAAACTGCCTTGAAGGTTGCATCGCACCAGTAAACGACCTTCCTGTAAAAGTCCCTAGATTTAGGAATTCCTTAGAGAAAGCTTAGCTTTGTTAAGAGCATCAAGAATAAGAGAAACTCTGCGAGATATTGAAGTATAGTTGGATCGCATTAGAAATAATCGCTCCTCCTAGAACTTACGAGAGTGATTGTATTTTGTATAGTTATGTGAGTGTGTGTGTGGGTTTTTGAGGTTCACCTTTTAGCCTGCTCACTATTCCACAGGTGCCCACAGCTGGCCTCTTCACCATCCGTACTCATCTTAGGGCTTCAGCTCAGGGGTGACATTGCTAATAGCTTCACCTACACCCAACACATCCCATGGCATTCTGCTATGTGCACTTACTGCTGCAATCCTATTGGCATGATCCTAACATACTCCAGGACCATGCACATACCACATGTACAAGTGGCTGAAGACTATGTTATACATGGTGAGTAGCAACAGTTCAACAATTGTTGGCTCATCTTGAATTGCAGCCAAGAAATTCTTCTCAAGATTGGTAAGTCCTGCTTTGTTCTTTTTGTAGCAGATGGTGTCTAGGAATTCAATCAACAGCAATTGATGGAGAATGATGAATTTAGCTCCATCACAGTTAGATTGATAGTGTGTACTGCTCATCCCAGAATAAGCCATGTCACAACCCAGTTTCTGCCTGAAGAACCACAAGAATGTGTCCTGCTGGCCCTTCTTGTCATCTTTGTGATGGAAAAGAAGGCCACCAAGCATCATTGTCTTGACATCACCATGGCCAGAAACTTTTTCCATGTGAATTTCAGCAGCTGTGTGCTCTCCTCCAACAGATGTTGAGGCAAGAACAGCTGCATTATCCTTATTTGCAAGGAGAGTCAGTAGCATAAGTCCTTTTGATTTCCAAAATTCACTGATTGCCTTGTCTCCTCCCTTCACCATATTTAGATCTTTGTGCATATAGCATCTGCCCTACAAGAATAAGTCAAACTTTCATTTCTTGAGATCAGGGATTTTGTCATACTCCTGACCACCAAGTTCTCAAATCAATGATAGCATTGTTTTCTTGTCATATTGTAGTCTTTCTTCTGGTGAGAGGTTTTCCCAAATTTCCACCCTGCCAAGCTCATCAATTCTTGCTTCCTTCATAGCTATGAGAAGCTTGATCAGGTCAGGAAACTCTAGCTCTGACATCTATTTTTTGCCTAAGCACTGATTCTGTTCATCTTTTCTTCCAGGTATGAAGTAGGGTATTATCCTTCTTCTGGTCTGCTGCATGATCACTGTTGGTACTATGCAGTTTTGTGATAAAGTTGTCTTGAGAAAAAGACATAGTTTCACACTGAGCTAATGGATTAGCATTAAAGATTTAAGCACATTCATTGAGTCAGTTTTGAAGACCAGTGAGCTGTGTTTCACTGGAATGATTACAGATGAATCAACACCAAGAGTTCATAGATTTGGCAGGTTAATTTCATCTGTTTGAAGAGCAACTGTCCAGGATTCATAGTTAGTATGTTGGTGAGTTGTCCCATCGCTGCTGAACATTAAATCTGTAGGCCATTTAGATCAATTTATAACTATCAGATAACTCACTGATGTACTTTTTGCTTTTGCCATTTTATGGCCAGCCTGCATTTGTGCTGCAAGTCCACCTTCAGTAATGCACCATTAAACTGTGCATTGACTCATTCTCCATTTAATTATTGTTCCCATCATTATGCCCACAGATTGAATGACTCTTCTGACCTTCTTCTCTGAGCATCCAGTACTGACTAGGAACTGGGCTATTTGATGTGCCTGTGCTGTATAAATACCACTTTTAGTGATGCTGATTTTTGCAGAATCTTTTAATGCTTTTTGACGTGAATGCTTGATTGCATGGGCAAGCATACCTGCTGCACATTTGCAACATTTGTTATACTTCCATTTCTCTCCTAAGCAATCCACCAGCTTACTCCATAGCTCTTTGCATTTCAACTGGAAAGCCTGGAGTTTATCTCAAAGACTATGTATCTCTGCTCATGCCTTTGAGATCTCTCCTTGTGCATGAGCCAGATCTCACTCTAGCTTAGAGACCTTCACGATTGTGTACTCAGGTACATCCATATCCATGACTGCAGGTACCCACAGCTCAAAAGCCATACCCATCATCTGTGCCAACATCTGTGGCACAGATGACCTGACCTGCATCATGGGTACCTGTATTTGTGACAGGTACCTGTGCTCATCCGGGTACATGTGTGTACCTATAAATACCTGTGTGAATACCTGTCAATTACCCATACCTAATACAACCAATATCATATTATGTTTACTCTTCATCACTGTCTCCACTACTTTCAGATTTCTCCTCATCAGTGTCCTCATCACCAGTGCTATCCAAAACCTCTACAATGTGAACAGACTTCTTTACTCTCCCACTGTTATTTAGACACAACACTTTCTTGTTGAACTTCTTAACAAGAATCTTTTTTAGTATCAGACCCTCAACCTTGCCTCAAGAATTCAGTATCACATTTGCACATGTCGACTTCAGAGATAAATTATAGTAGCATTTATTAACAACAAGCCCACCATAAGAGAAGACTTGTTCCACATCTGTCGATGTGGCTATATCATATATATCAATAATCAGTATCATCATTGTTTGACATGAAAGGATATACCAGGTGCTGATAAAAAATCAAGTGCCATTCTTGCAAGGGCGCCCATTGGTGTGATGACCTTCTTTGACTTTATATCGCATTTGTCTAACTTTGCACTCCAATGTATAATTGGATCACCACAGTTGGCCAGCAGATCAGTGATATACACTTCAAAAACATCTCCTTTGGTGCTACAACTGTAGTTGTTGACATCAGCAAACAGATCCTCATTTTTATTCTGTGTTAGATGCCCAAATTTAGATCTCATTAGCCATGAGACTTTGAACACCTACCACAGTTTGCATATCAGGCAGCTCAGAGACTGTTAGCAAGTAGTACATTGTCCAAGTCTCCCAAGTAGATTCTTCTGCTGTTGTAATCTACTCATGCAGCCAGCCCTGCTGTCTAAAGTAGCCAAGTTTGTATCTTGGGTGCATAACTATACCACTGTCAGATAGATAATGCTCAATAGCTCACATACTCACTCATTGCCATCTTTCACATGATGGATTCATCAGTCTTTGAGTAATACTTGTCAGTGATAGCCAGACCATGGGCAACACCTGCACACACAGCTGGGTAAAGGATGGCATCCTTGAGGTATTTTTTGAGCTTCTTAGTGATGCTGTCCATGGTCGGTATGATCTTGTGCAACAGTGGAACTGCTGAATGTGAGATATGCTCTGTCACCTTGAGAAATATCTAGCTGCCCTGGTCAAACAAATGTAAAACAAATAATCGTTACTCAGACATACCTCCAAAATTAGCTGCAGCTGTGTGAGCACCTTCCATTCCTCATTGGACAGCAGAAAGCATTTTAATTGCTTCAATGGTGGTTTGCCCTCATTATGCTCATGCTTCATGCATAGTGCATTGAGGGCTGGGCATAGTGCAACCCCTCTATCGATAACATTGAAAGTCATGTTCCAGTGCATGACAATGTAGCAAATCATCTTGAGGACAGAAATGCCTTGCTTCTTGCAGAGGCTTTCAAGACATACTTGCAGTGAATTCTTGTGGAAAATTCATTTGCTAAGCTTTAATAACTAACTAATTGTAAGGTAAACTCGATCGGCCATGCATTTCATGAGAGAAACCTATCTTGGTCAGTGCTGACACTCCCAGATTGACCTCATCCACTGTCAGATTGGTGACCTCTGGGCAATCGTCAGATTCCTTGTCAATCATACGGTTCTCCTCATCCTCCAGGTCCTTGTGAAGGTCCTCCAAAGTGGCAGTTTTATCAGCATCCAATGCATCATCCTCATCATCTTCAACCTCATCCACATCAGAATCCTCTCCTCCAGCTTGGTCCTCAGCATTGGTGATGTGCTCAGTAATGGCAAGTGACAAAAGGCTAGTGGATGGATATGAACACCACAACACCAAAACCCTCTACTACTCTACACAAATCATGAATAATATTGAGTTCAGGTGTTTTAAGTATGATAGAAGCACTCTGCAGACTTTAATAAATCAGGAAAAGGTTGTTTAAAGATGTATATTTGGTACTAGTGAGCTACACAAGATGTAATACTCGCACTAGCAGGGTTTAAGACACAATTGAATGAATAGTGACTTTGGTTGAGCAACTGTGCTTGGTCTAACTCTGATACTTCAAAACTAGTGGCACTCTGAGCCAAATACTGGGTCTCACAAGTGGTCTACACTTGACTAGCGGCACCCTAGGCTCGACTAGTGGCACTCTTGGCCTAAGAACAAATACTTTAACTCTGAGAAAATACTTTAACTAACTTCGAAACACTCTGAGTCACTCCAAGGCAGAATAGCAACTTTAAGACACTTTAATTCATTCAATACTATAGGTGACTAAGTGACTAGTAGACACTTTGTTGAGGTTAAGCACAAAAGCCTTAAATTGAGGCACTAGGATACTGACTAGTAGGTCACAATTGTGGAGCTAGCTTGCGAGGCTGCTCCTTCTACTACTTATATACTACAGAGACAGGTACAGAATAAATATAAATAGATTCCTTAAGGGTAATATTGATAAGGATGTCTTGGCTAGTCATGAATAATGGTGAGCAATCATGCAATAGTCAGCCTAGCCTGTTTTTTCTGTCAGATAGTGGGCCTAGGGCCTCCACTATTAGTCTTTTCCATACCCTTTGCCCAGCAGTGCTTCACTAGTGATATGGCTATACTAGTACTGATTGTATGGGATCTGTATCACACTATCCGGATCTGGGCTAAGGGTTATGCCTTTACTCATTCATTTCTAAGTCCTTTCTGAAGTGCACATGTGACTAGTCATTCTGACTTAGGTGTTTATGCCCAGATCAGTCCACTAGCAACTGAATAGTCGAGATCTGCTGTGGGTTCTTACTTCTTGTTTGGGCGCTAGTAGCTGTACTCCTTACTAGTGACAGTATTTTACTAAGTCATACTAGCTTTAGAGGCACTAGTCCGGTTGGCTGGTAGGGCTGACCCACTAGTGGTATCATTCCTAAGTCCTGACTCGACTAGTAGCATGCTAACTTGACTATCAGTCCAAAGTCTCAACTATAGCCTTTGATATATGACTAGTATAGGATAGACTGCAATAGTATTGTTATAAAATCACAAAATCTAGGTGTGAACACATAGATGGTGTATCATCGGTTGCCTTCTTTACCCAATGCTTTGCCTTGAACTGGGACAGGATGGCCTACCACATGACAAGCATTGAACATTATATAGCAGCAAACAAGGAGAACACATATACCTTCACAATCAAGTTCAGAATGTGAGCAAAACATCGTATCTGAGTATGATGGTCAGTCAGGATGGCCTTTCTCAGCTCCTTGAACATGCGCTCCAGGTGATCCAAGGTAGTATCGTTGTTAGAGGCATTGTCGCCGGCTTGCCCAAGTATGTCTTCCAGCAGATCATACTCTCTAAGAATGTCAAAGATTTTCTTGGTGAGGTACTTTCCCATGTGTGCATCTGTTAGCCTTTGCAAGGATCAGCAGAGGCAAGGAGACTAAGCAGATGTAATTACTTGATTAGATCCAGGGTGATGACCTTAATGTGCCCATTGCAGCACCAGACAAGCACAATACCCAAAAACTCGTTGTGGTTTAGCACTGACCATGCATCAAATGCAATGTGGAAGTGACCGTCGTGCTCCTGTATGACATTCAATGAAACATGTATTCTGAGACAGATGTGAACATACCTTGAGCATCTGTTTCAGCTGCTCCTTGGAGACTTCATATATCTCCTTGACATCGTGGCCTGCTGTGATATTTGAGTGGATGTTCACCATAGGGTTGAGCAACTGAAAAATCTTCTGTAATGGCACATCTTCAATAATGGTGTTGGGCTGGTGACACTGCATCAACCACTCCACCATCAAGTAGCAGAACTTGTCACCTATATACTTTGACACAATCTCGCCAATCTTCTGCTGCCAAGGGCCACTTCTGTCTTGCTGGGCTTGGAAGTTGCACTTTTCAGCATGCCCCTTAAGATTACTGGTGCTATTGTCCTTGCATCTGTGGGTGTGCATACTTCCATGCCTGGCATGCAGTCAGATATATGGCAACTTCAACTATAGTGAGAAAAACCATTGACAAAGGTCATCAAATGGATGCAGTGATGCCTGGATGTCAACTGCAACAGAAATTTGAAGAGAAAGGCAGGCTGGACACACCTCTTGCATGTGAAAACATACTTCACATTCCCCTCTGCATCCCTCTTGATTTCAGGAGGCAGGTGAAAGTGATCATAGACTGACAAGGTCCAGTTCTTCATGGTCTTGTCTATGTGCACTGTCAGCCTCGGGCATGAAAACAAACAAACCACTTACTTAGGAGGACCACATCCTCATCTTCATCCTGCAGTGCATCTTCCTCTAACTCTGACCTTTGTTTTTTGGTTCTGTGCTTGTTTCTGTTGCTGCCTGCTGCAACCATGTTGCTTTCACTATCCAATTCATTGTGCTTGCACTTCATGGACCTCTTCTTCTTGTGCTTGGTACCCTTCAGTGGCTGAGACAAGAGCTGGGCAGAAGATCATTGGCACTTGGCACCAGATGTTTTGAAAGTGAAGGCCATGGACTGGTTTTTTTTAGTCATGGGGGGTGCCATGATAGAGATGGATGAGAAAGCAGATTTTTATAGACATTGGCTGGCTGTACATTAAGCCATAAAAATGGATATTGACTGGCAATGTCATCTAACTCACTGAAGTCAAAAAATTGTGATAAATTGTGATACATCCATGATAGGTGTATAACTGCCAAAGCCCACATTCACAACAATAATAGTATTCAAAAGTACAATCATGTACCACTGGCAAAAGACACCAAGCAGTAAGGCCAATATCAGACTGTCAGGCCCAAAAATTTTCAGGTGTGCATGAGCCATTGAAAGACTTGCAGGTAAGAAGATGATGCAACCAGAAAGCAGGGAACAAAAAAAAGAAGAATCTCTTTTTAAGACACTGAGGATCATGGCTGACACTCATGTTAAGCCCATTGTCTGATGATGAAAGATGTTAAATGGACAGGCTGACCCAAGAGGATCAAGCCAGTGAGTGAGAAAGAGTGAGGAACTCACTAAGTGCCATGGTAGCACTTACTAAGCCACAGCCACCAGTCTGAGAGTGGCATGGGCATCTAAGGCACTCATGAGACATGTCAATCTAGTGCCCATGGCCTACCGGTATGTTCATCTGATGGTCTGTGCATGCTTGGTCAGCAACCCCTGGAAACATGTCAATTAAGTTTGTGCCTTTCTCTCTCACACTCACTGCATGCTCTTTCTCTCCTGTTCCTCTCTCTTGCTTCTCATCAAGCTGCTATCCTCAAGTTCTAATTATTCAGGTAAATTCAATTTATTTCTTTTTTTTGGGTTAACACAGATGTGTTGCCCATCTTGTTTGACATCTTTTGTCAACAAGATTTCTTATTGGAATGGGTTTTTTTCATGTCTTGTGCTTGCAGTTGACATGCATGTGTTACTGTGTCTGTTTGACATTTTTTGTCATCAGATGCTGTGAGTAGTGGTTAACACTGGTGGTGTTACTGCCGTGGCCTGACGTCCTTCATCAGTACTTCCTCATGTCCTCAGTGGTGCCTTAATACTCGACAAACCTTGGCAGGCTGCAAAATGGCCCTATCCAATGTGCAACCATCATCACTTTCCTCGCCTCCAGCCACTGTTCAAGCTTGATTCTCAATGTTCACAGGATTAACCATGCTGCCTCCCAACTTGACACCAGCACAAATTGGTGGAGATCCCACCTTGTTGCTGCACAATTAAGTGGCCAGTTCTCGTACATTCAAGTACTCGCCTCAGACCTGTACTATGTTAATAAGAATTTTAGCTTTGGATCCATTTGATGGCAAGATCGGTATCAACTTCATCATCATCACCCTGAACTTCAGTATCACCTGCAAACCTCTCCTTGGCAACAGAGAGGTATATATGCAGGAGAACTTCCATTATGGCCATGATGACCCTCTCCAATGGCCACAGGCCTACATCAAGCAGTTCCCTTGCCTTGCCTGCATATGCTGGGTGTCTCCCGCCTTACTGAATGACCCCTTCTATCCACTTTATCGTGGCTTGACCAAATATGATTTTGTCGAGTCTGACCCAAATAGTATTGTGAAGGGTGTCGGTCATCTACATCACTCAATGTTTCTGAAAATTCAAACTACTTGCCAAGTCGTCATCAAGTCCATGAATTCCATTGATGCCAGTGAGCCTGTGGCATGTAGCTTGCATGGACACCTAAGTGCCATAGAGATGCTTCTGGCACAACTGCATGCTCTGCTGACATCTTTTCTCCATGTCCATTTGACGTTTGCAGAGACACAGCACGTCACCTTAGAACTTTGGGCATTTGTGGATTACATGACCATGTTCAAGCCTCTCATAGACTCACCAGAGTCTAATATGCCAACCATGCCTGTCAATAGCAGCCTCTTGGGTGCATTTGTTTATGATGCAATGGTCCTCCAGAGGTTTTTCAAGGCTGGGATACCAGTTTGGTAGATTGTAGACATGAAGGATCTCTCAGGGATTTGTGTGGATTCACTTACTGAGTTTGTGAACTTGCCTTGGCTTCAGGATCCTTGCCTGCTGAGATTTCCCTCTGTCTTTGTGGGTTCTTCAAGAGATCCTCATAAATACATGAAGATTCAAGAGTTTGTGCTCCACTTGTGTTGATGGGTCGATCCATTTGCATGGGCATCTCCTATCATCCTAGGTCACAAAGACATTCCTCTGGCTGTGGCATTGTTGTAGAGCTCTCATTACTCTCCACGTTTGTATTTTGGCCATCATTTGTGATAAAACTGAATGTTAACATGTTTGATAGATCATAAGAATACGTGACCACAGTCTGGGAACACTCATAAGCTGATAGACTCTCAACATCCTCTGCTTCCACTATTAGTCAAGCCATGGCATCATGGACTATTGATGGTGGATGCCAATCCTGTGTGCTGTCACTCTTGTGCTTGTCCTGTACCTTCACATCCGACAGCGATTCTGAGAGAAAACCAATATGCCTTCCCTTGGCCAGGTATCATTGTAACCTTGAATACAGATGAAAAAGTCAACTCTTTTTTGATTTCTTGGTTGCGTCTCTGAACACCTTTGTTTGCATGTCTCACTGTGACAGAGTGGGTGCCTCTGAATTTGTACCATCAAGAGTGGCAGACTGTGTTGGCATTAGAATTTCTACATTCAGCAGAGGAGAGTGGTGGGTGAGCAGTGAAAGGGTGGCAGGAGGTGGTAAAGATCATGGAGGGCTACTTGAATGAGTTTCCTCTGCATGCAGATAACAATGCATCAACTGTGTTTGGAGGGAAAAGGCATATGAGACTCTTACTGTGAAGGAGCATTGGGAGATATGCTGGAAACTAGCAGAAGTGAATTTCCATAGCGAGTTCAGAGCACTCCATCAATGAGCAACAGTGACTGCAAGTCTCAGCATGAAAACACTGGATGTCTTCTATTGCTTTCCCCATGGGTGGCAACTTCCTGGATAAATCAAGGTGGGCTCTGCAAACTATGGCTTTGCACATCATTTATGGCTGCACTGCATGCTGTACATTTTTGCAATGAAGAAGCTAATGAAGACATAGGCCAGTGATCATCTGGCATTCTTGAATATGGTGAAGTCCACTGGTGATGAGCCTCTAGACTCTGTATGCTCAGAATTTACAGATTTTACCAGATATTTAATTCTCCAACCATCACACAAACCTACTATTTCAATCCTGGCAATATTGCTTAATGCCACCAATTATCCTTCTCCACTTGTACCCCAATTACGTGCCCCTTTCATTAATTCTGCCAGGCACCTGATTGTCAATCTCACGGATTTAGAATCCCATCTGATTACCTAGCACAGCTGCAATTCCACAGCTCAGCCACAATTCTGCAGCTCAAATAGCAATTCCATGGTATTAGCCCTAATGCTGTGACCTTTTCTCAGTCTTTACTAAGGCTGTTATACCGCCAAGAGATTGCTGCAAGCATCTACTTCAGTATACTTGCTTCAATGTACTTTGCTGCAGCAACACAGCAGCTCAAAATTCTGGAGATTGGTGGCATTCTTGCTAATCACTTCATCTATATGTGGTAAAAGCCATATGGGTGCTGTTACTTTAGAACCTTGGGAACATGTGTTTTGTATCATTTTTTACCAATCTATGTACTATGGACTTACTAAGGACTCGCTTCAAGTATGCTAAATTTATTCTGGACTTGTAGTATAAAAGCTAGTATACACCACAGAAAATAGGGAGTTGCTAGAGACACAAGTTATCGCAACCATTATTGACCACCATCACTGCTTGTACTCACTAGGAGATAGACAATAAAACCTAGTCACTCCGAGTTATACTCTCTGTCACAGCTTTTCTTCGAAATAGTATTGGTGTACACTCATATTGCACCAATACATGGAATTTTGTGTCCATAACTTGCTTTTATCTTTATTCCACCAGCATTGTTTCACTTTCACCAGCCAGCATTGTTTTACCAGCCTTCACTTTCTATGTCACCATCGTTTCACCTCAGTTCAGCTCAGTACAGTTATGTCCCCATGTGGACACAGATTAGGATTATCAGTCATGGCATTTGGTATCTTGCTGTCAGTTTCCATATAGGATCACCAGTCTTGGTATTTGTTATCTTGCCGTCAGTTTCAGAATAGGATAGTCTCCATGTAGACTCAGAATCAGTATAAGTTTTGTTTTGCCATTGTTAACCTCAGTATAGTTTCAGTATCAGCCTTGCCCAGTCTCAGTCATCGTTTTGCCACTGCTAGTCTCTCATCATATTTCTGCCAGCCAGTCTCTCTTTGCTTTACTGCCAGTTTCTCAACTACAGTCTTCATCTATTGCTGTCATGGTATTTGTTATCTTGCCAAATGGTATTTCTCTTTGATGGCATTTCCATTAATTCTGCCAATTTTGCTCATGGCTTTTACTAGTTAATTGCTATCACTTTGTTCACAGTTTGCTGGTATTCCCAGTTATACTAGATTCCATTCCTTCTTGTACATCAAAACTCTTCCCGGCTTACAGCCAACACTTTCTAGTACTCAATCGTTAAGGGTACTACTTCGCTGACTGAAAAGTCACAGTGTATACTTGCATTCTTGAGGAATTCATCACATGGAGATGCACTGAAACACTCACACAACAACAAAGCCTTTATTGCTGCTACACATCATTTGCCATGAACTCCTCTGAAGTTTTGGTTTTTGCCATTGCCACAGAAGTTTAGGCTCATCAACAGACTGTTGTAAAGCCAGCAAAGACAAGCCAGCATCACACATGGAACCAAGTAGAAAGAGGATCCAAGGAATGGCCACCTCTACCACAGAGGACACTGGCCAAAAAGCTCAATCGCCTACAAGGATCAAGCAGGCCAAACAGGGGAGAGAGGCTCCTCTTCCCAGGTACATGTACATTTAGAAGAAGCTGCTAATGAAAGTGACAATTCTAGTTATTTAAAGAGTTTATGGAACTCTTCAAAATCCAGCAAAGTCCCAACTAACCTGAGTGGGTGTCTGCACTGAGGTGAAAGGGAACTGACCGGTTGCATGGTCAGAACATCACAATCACCCTACAACTGGAAACCTTCAATACTATGGCCCATCACTCTGTGAAGGCCCTGATCAACAGTGGCTGTACAGGAAGCACTATTGATCAGCAGTGGACCTGTGATCATGATATTACCATGCACAAAATGGCTCACCCCACTCTCATCTATAATACAGATGGTACTCGCAATAAGGACAGTGATATTACCGAATCTGCTGAGGTCTGACTCAAGATCGAGGATCACAGTGAACGAATTGAGTTAGCAGTCATGGACTTAGGAATGACACCCATCTTCCTAGGCCATGACTGGCTACAAAGGCACAACCCACTCATTGACTGGAATACAGACTCGGTAACCTTAGCATGCTGTGATTGCCACAAGATACCATTCCAACTTCCAGATGAAGACCCTGAACAGCAATGGGAAACTGAAGTCGAAGATGGGGATATGATCCTTGTTATTGACTTCAAGGAAGCCTTTCATGTGTGAGCCATAGGGCATAAAGCCAATAAATTGGCAGCCAAGGCCAATGAGAGAAAAGAGACAAAGTCATTCGAGGAAATTGTTCTGAACACTATAGAGATTTCATTGACATCTTTGCCAAGGAAAACTTCAATGAACTTCCCCCTTGTAAACCTTGGGACCATGCCATTGAGCTAGTTCTTAAAGTGTTCTACACTAACCAAGGACTCTACAAGCCTATGGTTATGTTTTTTGGACTCACCAATTCACCTGCCATGTTCCAGTGGATGATGAATGATACCTTTAAAGATCTCATTGCTCAAGAATTAGTCACTATTTACTTCGATGACATCCTCATCTTCACAAAGGACAAAGCGGAACACCGGAGAGTGGTGTAGGAAGTCCTAAAGATTCTGCACAAGAACAAGTTGTTCTTGAAGGCAGAAAAATGTGAATTTGAGGTACTCAAGACAGAATACCTTGGAGTCATTATCAGTGAAGGATCCATCAAGATGGACCTGGTCAAAATTGCTAGTATCATGGACTGGCCGGAACCCTCCAAGAAACAGGAACTACAGTCATTCCTAGGGTTCACCAATTTCTATTGCTGATTCATCTAGCACTACAGTGCAATTGTCAAACCAATGATGAAACTCATGAGGAAGGTCCCATGGACCTGAGGAAAGGAACAAAAGAAGGTGTTTGAGGAACTCAAATGCCAATCCACAACAGGAGTCATATTGGCAATGCCAAATGACTACAACAAATTTTGTGTGGAGGCAGACTCCAGCGAAGGAGCAATCAGCACCATCCTATCACAGGAACAGGAAGGAAAATAGTGTTCGATTACATTTCTGTTAAAATCTCTCTCTATGATGGAACAAAATTATGAGATTTATGACAAGGAGTTATTGGCAATAATGATTACCTTAGAAGAATGGTGACATTATCTCATGGGTGCCTGTCAAGATTTTGAAATCTGGATGGACCACTCAAACTTACAGTACTTCTGCAAACCTCAGAAGCTCAACTGCAGACAAGCATGGTGGGTCACTAAGCTAGTGGAGTACCACTTCACACTCAATCACAAACTGGAAGCATCTAATAGGAAGGCCAACCACTTGAGCTGACAAGCTGACTATGACCAGGAAAAGAAGAACAATAACAACATTGTCCTCTTGAAACAGGAATTCTTCCAAGTTCTGATAATGTCAACAGAGGAGAAAGTTCATGGCAAAATCAGGAGAGCCACGAGCGATTGCCAATGGTGGGACTGAGGGATTGCTTCAAGTCTCAACCATGAGAAGGGGGTCATCGAAAAGGACCACCTACTATTCTATAATAAACATATCTACACTGACTGACAAAAATAAAGAAACACGTGATTTTTTTGATTGGAGTCGCAATAGCTCCTCAACGCTGTGATATTTTTTCAGACTTTCAGTGAGAGAAATGTAGCTTAATTGATG